TAGCCACAGTAGCCGTTGCCATGTACTTCTGTGTGATCGTTGCCAGATCTTTAGACTGTCGCTCGACCCGGCTCGTGGGAGTGCTGCGGCTTGTCTCATCCATTTCTTCAAGGCACAGGCGTAATTCGTCATCGTCGTCATCATCATTGTTTCAGTGATTCATGTGATTGCGGGGGCTTAGCCTACATCACAAGCCAGTAACCATGCTACTAGTATTGCGGGGCTCTCAATGCCAAGCTAAGTCAAAGTTTGACTCAGTCACCAGCATGCCCGCGAGCCGAAGCCACAGACAGACTCAAGCGTCTCTATAGTGCCTGTCCCGTATGGGACACCGTGTAAAGCATGCGGTGCAGCAGTTGCGAGATCTCTACAACTTCCGGGTTTGCCATCTGCAAACGAGCCGATCCGGCTTGTGGCATGCTTCTGCAATGCAAAGCATGCTGCTGGTTTTCCGCTGGGTGGAGTGCTTGCATGCAAGATGATACACATGGTTACAGATGGTTGCACAGTGTTTACACGTGATTACACGTGGTTACACATGGTTTCGCCTGATCAGACTGACACGCAGTAAAGAATGATGTAAGTAGACCAAGACCAAAAGTCTCCAAGCATTCCGTTGCACCGCGCAGCCTGTACAGATGGGTTGCACCCCAAGGATTGGTGCCCAGTCTGTGCTAAGTGGCATTTAGTTGCTGGGAGAGAGCTTGATAACTCTGTTCGGGGGCGAGCTTTCGCGCTAGACCCAAATTCATCATCGCGAAGAAAAGAGAGTCTTCGCAATGTCCGCTATGACCCAGCTTGAAGGAGTTGTAGACACACATCTCATGCCATGGCGACTGTTGTAGACAAGCTGCGCCTCCCCGCTGCAACTCTTGCTCAGACTCTCTCATGATATCCAGTCCTGCCTCTCTGAATGGTTGCAGCAGAACATGAACATGATCCGAAGCCACAAATGCGCCAGCACTTCAGACCATGGCCCCAGCCTCTCCCGCAGCCTTCCACCGTGTAGCTACCATGTAAACCGTGTGCGTGGAAGCTGCGATGGCAGCACCAGGCGCAACTTCATGGCTTGACATTTGAAGCCGTACTGGATGGTCGGGGCAATTCATGGTGTTACTGTGCGGTGCTCGAAGGCTGGGAAGAGGCAGCAAAATCATCCTGCATAGTCACTTGCTGGGCTGAAGGGATTGGGACGAAGTTTTTGGAAAATGAGGACATATGAGGACTCCATCAGGATGAATGTACCCCCCTTTGAGTCCCTAAGACCTGCGATTGGAAGCCGTACCGTCGGGTCGGTCAGGCATGTCATGCATGTCATGCATGTCATGCGTCAGGCGCTTTCAAGAGTCTTCGTGCGACGGCGAAGATTCTGGACACTGCCCACAGTTCACAGAGTGACGTGCCAAGGCTGTGCCACTTTGGGTTTCAGGAATTTATGTCCAAGTCTTCCCTTCAGCGGGCTGCTTTGCAATTCAGTTTCTTGTACAAAATTGTCGCTGTGGTTGTGCGAGTGAGTAGGACCTGATGCATTTCATGTGAACTGGCTCAGTGTACCTGATAGTAGGAAGAGATAAAGGCTTTGCAATGAAATCGGTTGTCCCATCGGCCCACCAGTACTAGCCTGTACCAATGGGCGCCGCACACGCCTGTCTGCACCCCCAGGCAGTTTAGCACTCTAATGATTCTCATGGCCGGCACGTAGTTTGGTGCTTTTACGGACCTCTGGGGTCTGAGAAGACTTCGTTGACCATGGCTGCCGGCAGCGGTGGCTCACGGGCCAGGCAAGGACGACGAATCATGAAAATCAGACTATCTTGCCATGCTACATGGCATCTATGAAGCTGAGCCTCACTCTGGCATCCAGGTCTTTGCCCGGTCGCGGTGGTCGACTTGGGTGCTCGCCGCTGTTGCCGCTCGAGCGCACAAGTTGGCAGCGGGGATGAGAAAGGGCTTAAAACAGAAGGAAGGATGTTTGCCGTGGCTGTCGTGTACAACTCTGTCTGAGCTTCGGGGCGGCCTGTGGAGCTCCGTGCGTCGAGAAGCGAATGCAATGCGAGAAGGGCCGAGTTCGGACTTTGGCTTGCCCACATTGCCCACAAAATTCGCGGTCTGCGTGAAGCGCCGCAACTCAGTGTGTGCAGGCTTCTCCTCATTGGTGCGGGGACCTATGCGGCCACCAGGACGCGGGCTTCACTCAAAAGCAAGCTGGCTGCCCGAACCACGTGGCCAACGGCTACCAGCCTCGTAGCTGACATGTAGAGAAACGTCTGTGAGAACATTGAGAGTTTGCTCTTTGATAGGTTTGTCAGGAGTTTGGTGTTTCTGTTGGCTAACGGGCTACAGAGAAAGAGCGGGATAAAGGCGCCACACTCTAGTCCATACACTCACTAGGCAAAGTTGGAGAACACATCATTGATCACCTAGGCGATGCAGCTTATTGAAGAGCGCTTAGAGCCATGTACACATTGCAGATTTCTTGCAGGAAATCGCAGAGATTGTGTGCAAGTCATGGCCGTCCATCACTAAGGTAAACACGAGAAAACTGCAAGAGTTTCTGGTCCAAGCAGTGCAAGCAGTTTAGCAACCATCCTAGATTTTATAGGATTTCGTTTTCAAGCTGTCTCTGGGACACTATTCTGACGTTATGGTAGAGGATCTCCAGGCATCAGCTTGGTACATGTCTGTTTCCGCGGTCGTTGGGTTTGCTTGCCTGGAAGGAGTACATTATCGTGACGACGGGCCTTTAAATACATCAAAGTCATGATAGCAGCCACAGCTGGGTGAATGAAAAACGCACAGACTTGCCAAGTGAAAAACCTGATTCGCCTACCCAAGAGGCCTAGAAACCGCCAGGCATGTCCAACCAAAACTCAGCAAAAACCCATCGTGGTGCATTTGTGAAGGAGAGCTTCCCAGTTATCAGTTCCAGCGGGCCGAAAACGTGCCCATGGCCTGTCAGGGTCCCCAGACATGTTCAGAGGCCCAGAAGGTCCAATTCTACAGGCTTATTGCACCAAATTCCCAAGTCGCCCCAGACTGGTCCGTCTGGCCCCGAAATTGCTCAACAGGCCACGATGGAACTGCCCGTGTATCCATTTTCGGAGGTGTAAGGGAGTGTTCCCTCCAGAACCAGCGGGCACTCTGCCCCAGGGTCGGCAGATATTGTGCCGGTTGACATGCATGGGTTTCTCGCAAGCTAACAATCACGTTGATAAAGCACGAAACGAGAGGGTGAACTTGCATGTAGGAGGACAAACGAAGCCGAAAGTTACACGAAACCCATCTTGCCCACGACATCATGAATATGAGGTAGTACATGCAGCGCCATATTGTGCAGCTCACGCAAGGCGTGCTCGTATCGTGCTGGATTGAATGAAGGAGCTATGACAGTCTTCGGGACTCGACCGCGGAAGGCCTCCAGCTGACAAACGCGGCATTCTGCGAGCGTCGATAGCTCACTCGATCAGAAACACCCGCTTGCCTGGGCCAGGTGCGTCGGCCTTCCTGCAGCCTGCCCGAGACATCGAAGGGCTCGGCCGCCCCAAAGTGACGATTCTTGGCAGCACCGCAAGACACTGCGAGAATGATAGTGACGACGTTCGGCCTTGCCCCAAGGCCTTCCCTGAGAGGCCAGCGGTCCAGAGTGGGTGCTGGTGATCAGGACTTCAAGAAATCTCCTGGCATCCAATCTTTTTTGGGGTCGTAGGGTCGGTCCATGTGGGGGCTTCCTGGAGGACACTGCGATCCTTGAGAAAGTTGAAAAGAACGGTAGAACCGGCTCGCTTCTCACAAGCAGCACACCATGCGTGGTCCACGTGCTCCCTGTGCCTGTTTCGACAGCCAGGGCATTCCGAGCACGATGAGCATGGGCCCATCTCGGACGATGCTGCTCAGCTCGAGCGACAGGCAGGGTAAGATGCAGTTGTGGAACTCCTCTGTCTTTATGCCGCTGACAGCTGTTGGTAGTCCCTTGTGACTTCGATTCTTCGAATCTTCGAGTCTTAGCTCCTTGGGCCCTCGTGCACCTTGTTATTTGGCCATACGCCGACACAGATGCAGGCGTGACAGGCAGGACAGGCAGGCGAGGCAGGCGAGGCAGGCGAGGCAGGCGCTGAGCTGCTTGGGGCCATTTTGGTAGGTGGGCTCCAAGTCCTTGGAGATCGGCGAGCCGATGGAAGATTCGGAAGCTTGGTGTCTTGGTGGCCAAAAAGTTCTGCGAGCCCTTTCGTGTTCTTCGCATGCCACAGGTGCAGCTCGGACAAAGAGCTTGCTGTCTGCGACTTGTTCTGAGGTCACTGCCCAGCTGGTTGCTGCCGCTGACCTCGCTGGTGTTGGGCCTGGCGCTGGGGCTGACAGTCCAGGGCTCACGGCCTGTGGCTCTGCTGCAGATTGACAAGGAATGCGCAGCAGCTAATGAAGCTAATGTTCTGCCAATGCTTTGCCAACGATTCACACCACAGCTCTGCCACTTCCACTTCTGTCACGTCAGGCAGTGAGCCCGATCCCAGATGCCCCCGTCGTCGAGCTTCAGTCGGAGCCAACGACTAGCAAAGTCCTCAATCAGGCCTGTGCTGGCGGTGCAGGCTTTCATCAGAGTCGTGTAAAACGCAGTGGGCGTTGACAAGCAGTATGAAAGCTCGACTGTGATGACATGACCTGTTGCAACCTCCCGCGACTTCCAGTCTTGCATCAGTTGGAGACCATGGCCGAGAGAAGGATCCCGAGCGTGGTGAAGCAGGCAGGATACTTATTGATATTAACCATCTTTCATTTCACGAACGATTTCTAAACATGGCTCGCATGCATGGTTCGTATCACTGCACCGACTCACGAGATTCACGGAGTCTTTCCAGTTTCGTTGTTGAAGCTAGCAAAGTCGTGGTGCCAAGTCTTGACCCCTGCATCGGACATGGCCTCACTTTGCTAGGAGCTAGTTCACGTGTGCAGGCGCAAGACGTGGCTGCAAAGGCTCTGTGCTGAGCATGAAGCACCGTATGCGTCACAGTTTCCCATTTCCCATGTGTATCACCTGCTGCGCAGCTTTGCAGCAAGGTAAAGACTTCAGCGGCAATCATCAATGAGGCGCGCTCGGAACCAGGGTGATCAGCAGGAAAGGACGTACCAGAAACAGATAGACGTGTGCATAAGTCGTGCATCTCTCATCCGGTTCTTATCTCCTGCCCAACTTCCAGGTTTCCAGAGTAGGTGTCTTAGTGACTTTGGACACCAAGTTGAAGCTCTTGGTATCAGGACTAACGGGATGCTAGCAGAGAGTGGAGTAAGTGGAGTTGCATATTGCCAGGCGGAGTCAATGCAGGACCAGAGCATGAGATACGACGACAAGCTCGCTTCGCAACTGCATTGGCTTGCCGTGTCTTGCGATGCTCAAGGCATCTGAAGGCATTGTCGCTGGATTAGGAGTCTGCGTCGGTACATTCGAGAATGCCTGGGAGTGCTTCACATCATCTCAGACCTGAAATTGATCAGAATCCACAGATCCCATTCTGAGGCGCAAATGTACACGGGCCTTATGGACTCTGCACGGCAAGCTGGTGCAAAGCTTCAGGGCGTCATGCAAACAGTCGTCTGGGCCCTACTTCTGTCTGAGCTTATCCGAGCTTCGAGGGCCGTCGTTTCCATGTTTTCCAGCCCTTCGCACCCGTCACATATGACGCTAACACAGGCCTCCTCAACAGCGGAGACTGGACCTCCGAGCCGCGTCTCGCCATCCGTGGTGAAGAAGATCCGCGATGTAGGTGCGGAGCCTTGTGGAGCTTTACGGAACGGTTTTTCAGTTTCCGCTCACAGCTGGGCCGTTGCTATTTCAGTTGTGTTTCCTCAGCCATAAAAAAATCAGGTGACATCTTGGATGAAGCGCAAGCGGATGTTTACAAAGAGGAGTGGCAGGCACTCAAGGCCGCGAGCTGAGTGATGGGCTTTGAAGCAAATGTTCGGGTGTTCGGGAAAGGATTGGAACACTTCCCCCCCCACGAAACTTCTCCCGTAATTGAGTGAAGGTTTGCCACGCCCGTTCATATGAGGACAAGAAGAAATAACCATCAACGACATGGCTGCGTCGAGCTTTTTAGGGTTTTGACAGTATGCGTTCCCATTTGTGGCGGGCTCTCCGTGAATCGCCAGCCTGTGGTCTGGGTGCAGCGGTGCAGAGTGGAACTCATTATATTTGTGACCAAGGTCACCCCCTCACTACTGCGGGCATACCTTCCGCTGATGCTGCTTAGCTGCGACAGATCTGCCTCTTATGAGCACACGCACGCGAATTTTCCCAAGAGCTGCCAAGGAAGTACTACCCTCAGGAGGCCTTCAACGACAATGTAGGAGACAAGTATGTCAACGTGACTTGGATGCATTATAGGTTGCATTTTTCGTGTCTGCAGGGTCTGGGCTCGCACCTACAGAAAGATCGAACTGCTGTAAGGTGAAGTTTTAAGCTCATGCTGCAGATGGGTGTGCACGTTGGGTAACTGATCTGAGGTGAAGAACGCACGCATGCTTATGAATGTACGCCCCGCGTACAGCAGGTGCACAGCTTTGCACAACACTCGGAGCCAGGTGACGTCGTTTGTTTGTCCCCGTTGCGCACACCCTGGCCAGCTCGGTGAGCAGAATGCAAGACTACGGACGTCTGTTCAAACGAGAGTCCAACCTTTCTTTGTGAAGTCTTGCCGAGTACTCAAAGCTTCTCTGGCGAGCATTCTTCGGCACAATCGTAATGTTTTACTCGTGTTTCGAGGTTCCTCCTCAGCATTTGGGGGTCACTCATGTACGTGTAGATCAAACACTGGTGGCCACGTTTGCATAATGTTGAGGTGGGTTTAATAACACACCCAAGATTCGAGCAAGAGTTTTGCCGGACACGGGTCGCAATAATAAAGGTTCAGGGGAGAGCAAGATGGAGCAAGGGCCTCTTCTGCCCGGGCCTCTCAAGGATCGCTGGTAGTTTTCCCGGTGCCGCTCTAGATTGCGTCAGCCATAGGCCGCGTTTCTAAAAACATGTTTGGGCACCCCTCCGCCGAAGCAAGATCCTATCTGCACATCTGAGGCCGCCACTCGCGAGAGCCTGTATTTCTATGAGATGCAGTTCGCCACCAGCGTTGATCGCCTTGAGAAGGCCACCCTGCCGAATGCCTGTAGAGAGGCTGTGAGCCAGATAGTGTGATTCATGTTCCGGCGGGGAGCAGATGTTGTCAGACTCTCTGACTCCCAAGGCCGTGGAAAACCACAAGGTCCGCGAAGTCGAGGAGGCCCCGTACGTCAAACCAATGTCAGCGAAGTCGGCACGAAAACCTGGAGAGCGCAACAATCAGCGTGCAAGTTCTGCTCAACGCGTTTCTAACTCCTTTACACATACGTATTCCTACACATATTCTTACTGAGTGGGTATTCCGTTGCGGATCAACGCAGGGGCTTAAGTGATTCATCGTTGCCGAGCCGAAGCCAGCGAAAAGCCTTGTAGCGAGCTTTTCTGGATTGTGCAGTGGTGTTCACCACAAAGGTAATTACAACAAATCAAGATGCTTGCGTTCGTGTGGACGTGTTTGTCAAGGCATTCGCCAAGACTTCTTTGTCGTATGACAGATACTTGAAGGCCGGTGACCTGTACACAGGTGCGCGGGAGCAACGCAACCAGCAGTCATTGTACTGTGACACGCTGATGCGTAGGGAAATGCAGGGAAGGATTCGGAGTCCGCCCTGAAGATGTAGTCCTCTGCTTGCCGTGCCAGCTCTTCGAAGCTGGCCTGTGCAAAGTGTTCTGTTTTGTGCAGGCTACGACCCCGTAACCTCCACGACCGTCTTCTTTCAGAACGTCAGCGATAGTCAGTTGCAATACACTCCGCTGGCCCTGCAGCAGCCGCAAATTCGGGATGAGGCGCCAAGCTGCTGGATCTGCATGCTGTGCACGGTGTTTGCCAGTGCGTACCAAGCACAAGCAGCAATTGACCAATGTCATTTTCCAGGTGTTGGTGCTACAAGGTCCCGACAAGGGCAAGGCCGAGACCAGTTGGGGTAGAGAAGTTCTGGGGGACCAGAGATCTGTACAGTTTCAGAGAATTAGCAGAGGGCACACCGCCGAAGGCTCTTGGGGCAAGAGCGTCTTTACGGGCGGCTAAATGCGACTCAGTGTTTGGTGAGAGAACGAGCTGGAGATGTTTGCAATGTTTGCAACTCTTGGCCTTTCGAACACATTGCCTCTCGGCTTCGATGTGCGCAGCAGGTTGGGCGCATCATCTGGCTTGGTCGAGAGAACGGCGAGGACTTGGGCAGCAAGGCAGCCAGAGCACTTTCGACTGTCGGCACATGCCGCAAGTAGTTGCAGCATAAATCCGCCGGAATCAGATGCCGAGCATGTCAGTTGAGTTGCGGTAGGTGCATGCTGCTGTGAAGAACCAGTTTCTCTGTGCGTCCAGGTCCTGAGCGCCGTGGTGAAGCTAGAGCCAAACCCAGCGCCTTTCCTGCGCTTGGGAACGAGTGTTGCTTATCTCGCGTTACAGAACCCTAATAGTGCTTTCGCTCCCGTCGTGACCAGTCTGACTCATGAGTGATCCTTTGTTCCTTTGTAAGACTGATACAGAAAGTAAACTTGCGCCTGCTTGGGTCTGCAATTTCACTACAAGAAGTTTGGAGGACTGCAGGTGCAGCTAGGCCAGGATAGGCCCGGATGCCTTTTCACTCGGAGCCATCGCCAGGAGCTCGGGCAGTCTCGAAGTGGCGGTGTGCCTCGGTGGAAAGCAGACCATCAAATATGAAAATACCACGCATGTGTCCGAATCCTTGAGGTCCGGGAAGTCAAGGCCTACCCCTACTCGTGGCTGGTGATGACACGTGGCAGCAAGGAGAGCTACGTCCAGGACCTGGTTCTGGCGACGGCAGCGCCTTGTCAGAATCTCTCCTTTGCTTGCGAGCGGAGTAGCGGAGTAGCAGAGATTCTTTGCGGTTGCATACGATTATCACGCTTCTGAGGCAGCGATGGTGTCCTGCGCAGTGACGTATCCTCTCGAAACAATCAAGGCATTGCGCCGCGAGAGCGGATGCCCTTTTGTGATTTGCTCAAGCCCTTCCTGTGGCCGATGGTCATCGAATCAACGCAGTTAATTTTTTGCTCCTGGGTACTTACCCTGAGTCGGTACGGACCTTGCAGATCCGCAGACTTTTACAGTGGCACAGAGCTGCCTGCAATACAGGCCCGCGTGCAGTCGAACTTGTCACCGATCCCACCGGAAGGCCCTCAGGCGGGATGTAGAGGAAGCGTGAGTTGGTTCTCGATGCAGTGGCGGGTTTCGGGGCTTGAAGACTGTTCAGTTCTTTTACTTCATAGAGCCGACGATCCCTTCACGTGCTCTGAAGGATCTTCAGTTGCAGTTGGTAGGTTGCCGGGAATGCAAAGATGCCATCGCGCAGGCTCTCATCCAAGGCCTCGAGCTGAATGTGCTTCGAGAGGCACATGGTCCCACATCGAACAGAAGTGCTCTCTCTCTCTCTCTCGGTCTCTCTCTCTCTGCTTTCCAATGGCTTCTTTTGGACTCTTTTCTTCCGTTTCGGTGCCCTGGTACTGATGCTCTCGCGTGCATCTTAGGGTGCCGGGGAAATGAATGAATGGATAGTGTCAGGTAGTCTTTGGCGAACGTCTCTGTCTGCTCTGTAGACTTCAGGCACCCAACGCGGGGTTTCTGATGGCCGGCTTCAACTACTTCACCCGCTGGGCTGTTCCCGACTCAGCTCGCAACGACGAAGGGCAGGGTGACATCCTCGCGTGTGTGATGCATCTTTCCACTTCTTTCACTTTCCGTCATTCCGTTCCGGAGTCAGCTGAGGTAGGCCTGCCCTTTGTGAACGGAAATGATCCCAACCTGAAGTTCCTGCTGATGATCCCTTCAGGCTGAGTCCTCTGAGTCTGCTTCCATCTGAACCCACATTCTTCCCATTCTTCCCATTCTTCCCACTCTTCCCACTCTTCCCACTCTTCCCACTCTTCCCACTCTTCCCACTCTTCCCATTCTTCCCGTTCTTCCTGTTCTTCCCCGCTTGTGGGCCATCTGCCCTTGGAAGGTGTTGTGGCAATGTGCACTGGTGCCTTTGCCAAGACGCCGGTGATTGACATCAGCAAGCAGGCCTCATGAACGTGCACCGTACACCGCCGTACACCTGGGGGAGAACGCCTCTTGACCTTTCAAAAGGTTCAAGCCGGGCTGGCCAAGGACACAGGCGAAGCTATTGAGATCCTTGGGCAGTTGATGGCAGTTCAATCTTTGCTGCAGCAGATGATTACAGCTGTGCATTCCTTCACCGTGCAGTCTTGCATAGTGCAGCCGGCTGCATGGCCTGGACGCTGCAAAATTGGGAAAGGCCCCAACAACCGAAGGTCCTGCCACAGGTTGGTTGCTGTGCTACTCATGCTCAGTTTCTCGCTGAGGAATGTGTTCTTCAAGCCCTCGCCAGCACAGGCCGGAGTACCCCAAAATGAAGCTGTTGGCGTGACCCCATCTCTAAAACAGCTTTGTGGGGTCCGTGCAAGGTGACGAAGAAGTTGGGCCGAACCTTCATGCTCACCGTCATCCGCGGGGCGCTCCTTCCACACCTAGAAGCCCTGATACGGACTTCCCCCCAACCATGTGTCGACCAAGTGATTGTAGCGTCCCTGTGTCGTGACATCTAGAGGTTCAGGTGGTGGCTGGTGTAGGGCCCGCAACATGCCAACATTGACTGTGGGTCTGCTCCCGTGAGCCATGTTGAGGTGCCATTTGGTGCTTTTCAGTGCTTGATCTATGAGGTGCTGAAGGCCACCGGGGTGCCTTTCTGAAATGGCTTAAAAAAGGCTAACTGCTGCCGCTGCACAAACCTAACTTCGCCCATCTTACATAGATCGGGCCTGAGAACTGGTACCTTTGCAGGACCAGACGCCGGCTCTGCTTGAGAACATTGGGGCACCTTACTTGCACAGAATGACGATATCCAACCACCGATGACGGTCTCACATCTTTGAAGTTGTGTAAGAAGCGCTATCAACATCCCTGTGTTGCAGCTAGGTAAGGCATGGCCTCGAGGAGTGGTTAGCTTGTGAAACGATGGGAAGTAAGAAGCGATAAGGTGTTACAAGGTTTCGGTCACTTGGCCAGGGTCTCGCACCATAGCAAGACGATAGCCGATAGCCAGAATGATAACTTTGCTTCTGGAGCGACATTCATCGGGAAGGGTGTGACCGCACGACCGCAAGACAACTGTAATTACGCTCTTCTCCATGACCTGCAGAATGCGGTCACACATCAGCATGTCCACCTACAAGTGAAAGTGCCAATGAGTCAAGCCGCTGAAGCCCCCAAGGATAGGGTTTTCTTTCACCCTCAGTGGTTTCGTTTTCAAGTTCTACGTCACACATGTAATAGATCAGAATAGCAGACTGGAGATTCCAACTCCATGGAAAGAGAGCTTCTGGGATCAGCTAAGAAGCAGAGTTATAACCCACGTATAGGTAGGATACAAGCCATATGATGTTTCTGCCTTCTGTACAACTGGCTTCACTCGTGTTCTTTGTTCTCGAATTTATCTGCACATGTCCATGTCACGTCTTGCTGCAGATCGGATGCCTTCATGCCGGTCATCAATAGATGGTTCTCTAGATGTGAGCGATGTGTCTTCGAAGGACTCCCTATGTGTTTTCGTGAATTCTGCAACCGCGATTTCAGAAGAAAAACCTAATCGTGTTCGCTTGTGTACTTCTTAGATAGACAGGCGGGAGCGCAGAGGTGGGGACGAGAAGTGGGTGAACAGTTCCGAAGACACTGGCAGTGGAGGAGGGAGGGGGGGTTGAAGAGATTTTTTGTTCTCACCAGACACACGCCTCGATCAGGTGCTTTTTCATGGGAAGATGCACTGCAATGCAGCCACGGTTAACTTCTGCCACGGAGCTTCAGTGGACAGCATCGAAGGTGCCCATCTGGTTCGAGCCTTTCATATGGGGCGGCGTCGCTGGCTTCTGCACTGGCTACTTGACGAACCCACCGGACAGCCGCCAGCCCTCATCTTCTCGTGGTGTTTTGCACGAGTTGGGGCAGGGTCGAGGGAACTGAATTCCGAGCGCCGGCAGGATGTCGTTATGCAGCGGTTGGCCATCGAATCCACCAACTCCAGTGACGATGATCCGGACCTCATTGTCATGTGCTTCCTGAGGTTTGTGCAATAGTGTATAGGCCAGCACACAAGTGAAGGTGCAGCGAAGGCATGTTCGAATGGCCCGTGAACAGGTATGGACCTGGGGATGTATAGTTCTACTCCCACTTGTTGACAGGACAAGCCTTTCAGTGTCGGGGAGACTTGGGAGGAAATCGTCCGGGCCACGCAGAAGGCGTTCAGGGCTATGTCGGCCTTCAGTGATTCAGTCACGTTATTTCATGGCATGAAGCCTGATGCAGGGGAGGGCGGTTAATGTGGCGTCGAACCCTAATTCGACCCGAGCCTGACATGCCCGTCGCCTGCCAGATCTTGGAAGAAGAGGGGCCCGCAGGCTTCGCCAAAGGCGGGCTTGAGATGCTCGTCGGATTATAGGCAAAGGAAGCCCGCTTGCATGTCTGCATGGGGCCGTCACTCCGAGGAACGCCCTGTACTTCCTGCCTGAAGCGATGGTCTGGTTTGGGGTCTACGAGGGCCTCAAGGGTGTGGCAAATAGAGCTTCAGCAGCAGAGGATTTGATGTTCATGCACGTTCTTCATGTCAGGCCGGAGCAGCAAAACATGCCTCACGGTTCAATGTTGCATCCGAACCACAAACCATGCCACTAGTTCAGGGGCCTCCAATCATGGTCATGGTGTTTGCTTCTAAAGGCTTTTGCTCCTTTGTGGTGGTTGCAGCCCAGGCGTTTCGCAAGCCTTCTAGCCTGACCTGAGTTGTGCTGTGCACACTGCACACTGCACCTATCGTTTCGTCTTTATGCAGATCTCGGTACATTACCCTTTCAGTGCAATCATGCAAAATTTGCGCTAGGCTGGCCGCCGCCCAAAAAAGGCACTGAGTTAAACATTAGCCGTTCGACATCTGACATATGCTTTTCATGGCGAGTAGCATGGTGGAATCTTGGCCTGGCCTAGCCTCTCTGCCGGTTTTACAAGTTCGGTGGAAGCCTTGTGGAGCTGTGCATTTGGAGCGGGACAGCAATGCTGAACCTGCACAGCGGCGGGATCACGAGCTTCTATGGGTGTAAGAGTGGACCAATCCACAATGTTCCATTCAACTTTGTTGAGCAGTCATTGCAGACATTGGCTCGCCTTCTGTTGGGTCCTCCGCGCAGGATTCCATCCTCTTTGAAGAATTTTCGCTGCATCTACCCGCCGGAAAGCGCATGGGGTGCGTTGGCTTCAGGGAGCAGTCAGGCACGGTACGCATGGCACGCGCAGTACAGTACAGAGCTGGAGTTAAATAGCGTCTTGTGTAAGAATTATATGCCTTTCATGCTTTTCGGCGGGATGAGATCGCACTTCTCAGAAAGGTATAGCACGCAGCTCATTTTAAGGGCAGCCGGTGCCAACTGGTGTACCAGGGGCCCATGTCTGATGGGCCCGACTACCAGCTACCTCCTGAATGCTTGAATCATGTTCGGTTTGTAATGTTTGTCACCAGTCTTGTGCTGTCGCGTGCCCAAGCTTTACTTGTTATTGTTCCGTTTGCATCCCGAAATGCGAGGACTTTGAGAGTGAACGTATGTACAGCTGTGAATAGTAATTCAGTGTCACTGCATGCTCAGCCAAGCCAGATTGATGTGATTCAGTGATGCGTGCTGACATTTGAGTATGAGTTCAACATCGGTTCATTTATGTATACAGCTAGTAGAGATGGTTCGATGTGAAGTCGCAGCATTCGGCTGAAGGCCACAGGCTTCGGGTGGGAAGGCATTGCCACCACAATCAGGACAATCGGGGTGCTTTTGGACACTCTAGCCATGAAAGCGTCGCATCGGCCCGTGCAGCCGAGCGCGCACGAAAGCGACCAACCTTGGTTGCGTTGCTGAAGAGCAAGATTTTCCAGAAAACGTCACCAGAGTCACCAGGTCGTGTGGGCTTGCGTACGAGTGCCGCAGCCCACATGCAAGATTTTCACTACCTGGCAGCGCAAGACAGGCTCGCGCCCCTTCCATCGGGGCTTGCCTCGGGACCTCAAAATCTCTTCAAACTCTGGAAGAAGAAGAAGAAGCTCGCATATTTTTAGTTACTTGGTTCGAGCCGTGCTGTTTTCGTTTCAGTGATTCAGACTGTTGCTTGCCTGCCGGGACTGGGAACAGACCACAGCAAGCAAAACCCTGAATTGCGATTGGTGCGCTTGGAAAACCTACGGCGTCTCTACGTCTTCAGTGTGTTTTCTACACTGCTAACTGACGAGGTTGAAGCATTGAAGGTTCTGTGCTGTTAGGTCATTTTTGCAATTTCTTTTCATTCTTTTCCGTGGACTCAATGGCGGAGGACCTCTCTGATGAGGCCGAGGCTTGTCGGGGCCTAGGAGGCTCTCCGAGAATCCCAATGGAGCACCAGTTACCGGGTGCCCAGCGTCCTCCACAGGACCACCGCAAAGTTGAGCCAACGTTGAGCATTCTTGACACATCCTGCAGCGCTTGCGTGCGCGTGCGTGTCAGCCTGCCTTACACGTACCCAGGCCCAGCCGCAGCATCTGCTGCGCCTCGTGGTGGAGAGGTTTGCCGGTGCGTATGTGGGTAAACGGTGCATGTATCTGCCGGGCTGCAGGTCACTGGGTTTCAGTTCCGGACCATGAACCGGGATTTGAGAACCCTTGCTGTGCATTACGACAGCATTACCGCACGTGATGTGACATGACAAGAGCATCAGCCGGGAGGTGGTCCATGTCTCCACTGATGGTGGCCAGCGGCATGCCGAGACTCGCACGGAAGGGTCTTCGACAGAGGCCGACAGAGACATGGAATGAATCGGGAGGTTGTTCTGTAAGTGTTCTAGCCACATTAGCGGCAAGGCTGTTTCTGCTGTTACATCGCGCGAGTGCCAGGCTCGGCCATCTGGCATTCGAGCAAAGCGGGCGCGGCAAGCAGAGAAGCAGGAGCGCCTCTAAGCACCTCTTCGGGGTCTGAGATGGGCCACAGCTTCAGGGTCTGACAGGATTGCCATGCTGAGGGCAACTCCAAAGCATCTCCATACCTCCTGAAGGAGGCTGCACAGGCAGCAGCGTCAGCAATGACCAAGGCTGCTGAGGCCAAGGGGCTCTGGCGGCATGTGGCACCTGGCTTCACCCGCAGCCCATCAAAGCCACACATCCTGAAATTCAGAGATCTTCACAGCTTCGCGTTAGTTTGGAGTTCTAACCGCTGCAAAGCTGGAGGCGAGCTTTCGGGCGCTGGAGGGGGCAGATGGCTCAGGAATTACCGCGGAGGCGCGGAGCAAGGTTTGGCAATCGGGTCATAGACACGTCCGTGGGCCTTGCTGACCAGGCACTCCGAGTGGCGCTGAAGCGATACAGAATCCCGGTGGAGGCCTGTGCAAAACATCACAAAACACCTTGTCGTCAACATGTACCACCATCCCCTGTGCGCGAAATGTCAGCAAAGCCCCGTAAACCCTAAACCCTAAACCCTAAGCCCCAAGCCCTAAGCCCAAAACCCTAAACCCCAAACCCTAAACGCTGGCTTTGTGAACCTGCGTGCTCAGACGGGTGGGCCCGAGATCAGGTTTGCAAGCCCGAGGAGGTTGAGGAGATGCTGGCCGTCGGGGCAGAGGAAGCTGGAGGTGCACAAACGGAGTTGGGTTTAGGGTTTAGGGTTTAGGGTTTAGGGTTTCGGGTTTAGGGTTTGGGGTTTGGGGTTTAGGGTCTAGGGTTTAGGGTTAGAAAAATGCAAGTTGGAATACCTTCTTTGGGGGATATGTGGATAAGTTTTGTGTTCGGATTTGTACCAGACGACCATTGGACCACCAGACCATTCGACACGCCTCTGCCAGAAGATCCTGGACCTCTGAACTTCTTCGCTTTCAAGACGCTCTTCAACTCGTTAAATCTGAAGGCGCCAGCGACTTGGCCCTGTCATTGGATCTTGTTGTGGTTGGTTTTCTGCAGTGCAGGTGACTCGAGAAGGCCGTGTTTGGTGAGCTCAGCAGGAAGATGGTGCAAGCCTTGAGACGACCTGCTCGCCAGAAGTTGGTCCTGAGGGCTGAATGCGGGCGTGTCCCGAACAACTCCCGGCAGCCTTTCGCTCTGGTCCATCCGTGCGCCCTGCCAACAAACGCAGGCCTAGCCAGAAAGCGCAAGACTTCCTTCGAGAAAGAACAGCCAGCTTTGTGTTGGCAAGGGCATGGCTGGTTTGAAAACCAACTTGCATTTCAGCTCTTGGCCGTGCATACCTAGACTTAGTGGAAGATTTGTACCCTTGGACCATGCCATGGATCCTAGTGTCCCCTTCCCGCTCGGTTCTTGCTTGCTCCTGTCATCCCTGTCGGGCTTAGAGTACACTGAAGCGACGCTGGGCGTGGGTCCCAGTCCGCAGCCTTCAGCAGCGTCGAGACCCGCCTCTAGCTCAGTTGACCGCTGTGGCAGCAAGCTGACTTCAAGAGAATTGATCGCTTCAAGATGCTTTGAGCTTCTTTGGAGGCTCTGTGACTTTCCCGGGCTGTGGAGGGCGCGAGAAATCACGAGCTTCGAGTGACAGTTTCCAGGTCCCTTGGCTGTGATAGGGGCGCTGGCGCTGACTGCGGAAACAGATACTGGAGCGGCAGCCTCAGTGTTACTCCGTGCCTTCAATACCTTGAAGACATGCATAGCTTTCACTTGGGCTTGCGAGGTCTTCGTCGCATTGGAGTGATCATCCCAAGGGTACCAAGAGACGCACAGCGTGGGCATCTAAGCAAAGTCGCAAAGCGATGCAAAGCGGGGAGACCATGCAAATGCCAACTGAAGCTGTTTACAGCTGTGCCGGCCCCAATTTATGTGTCACTAAGCCCGTCTAGACCCCACGCACCCAGTGTCATGTGCTTGTGACTTCCATGGCACAACAGGCATTCCACTCTACTCTTCAAACGCCCTCCAATCTACTCTCCGCTTCGTGCGTCGCCGGGCAGTGTTGGCCCGTCGGATGTCAGCGAGGCGTGAGATGGAAAGGCTCATGACATGATGTGAGGGGGAGCAAGGTATCGTTTGCGGAGTGGAAGTATGACTTCAAGAAGTCTTGATAAGTTTGGAAGGGCCTTAATAGCAAATCTCAGTCCACAGCATCCAAGTCAGACGGATCGCTGGCATGGCTGGCATCTAGCAGCTACAATGGGGACCCCGATTTGTGGTCTGACAGTGTCTCTCTTCGTCTTCACTTCGACAGCTCAAGGTGCTAGGCAATGGCGCCGACGCGGCTCTACGTTGGCAACCTGCCCAAAGAGCGTCCGGTCTGACCGGCAGCTTAACTCTTTCGGAGCTGCTTTCACTGCCATGTTCTTGGATTTCACGCTTGGGGATTCTGTAGTGATCTTCTGAGAATCTTCCGTGTCTCCTTTCTCCATTCTCGGGCCATCTGGCTTGGAGTCCAAGCTGATGCTACGGATAAACGAAATCAAGGACAAGGTGCAGTTACGCAGGCAAGTGTATAGTAGAGTAGAGTAGAGAGTAGAGTAGAGTAGAGTAGAGTAGAGTAGAGTAGAGTAGAGTAGAGTAGAGTGGAATACGGAGGCCTGGAAGCATCTCAGAACTCAAACACACCCGAAGCCTGAGTAGTCACCCAATGTGAGGAGAGGAAAGCTTGCCGAAGCCGAAAACAGTTGCCAAAACCGTCGTGGGCCAATGCTGCTGGCATGGTATCCGAGCCTTCGGATGGGTCTACCCGCTTCGTGGGCAGGCCGAGTGACACTGGGGATGTCGTGTAAGCTCTATCTACAGTACCCAGAACTGGACGATGCAGAAGCTTGCCAAGTCAGACACTTTTCTCTTGTTGAGTTGGATTCTGTTCTCCGCCAGCTCTCTTGCCAACATGGAGTGCCAGGTAGGAGGGTCACAGCACATGAAGCAGAATGTCACGCACGTAAGTCTCAGAAAAGGAGTAGGCAGGGGTCCGGCACACTGCGGCACCCTCGTGGCATCTTTTGCAATCTTTTGCTTTTTTTTGGCCTTTCCGCGTCAGCTCGTGGCCGAGCCATGGAGGTGACAAAACCCCTTCGCTTGAACCTGGGCCTTCCAGAGTGGTTGACCAAGCCTTTGGTCGAGCAAGGGCCTTTGCGGCAGGTGATCCAGACGCTTTCGCCACTGTTTCTTCCGGTGGAGGTGCCTGCCATGTGGTTTTGGCTGAAGCTCCCGGCAAGGGCCCGGTACATGATTCTGATGCCCCTTTGGCACATCTGGCTGGTCCTGCACAAAATACTGCCAGCTTGGCTGGTGCAACGTGGGATGGCTGATGAGCTTTCCATCGAGGCCCATGCCCTCGGCAACGTGCTCTATTGGGTCCGGATTGTCCCGGTGAATCTACGGCGAATGCGCTTCAGTCTCGCCCAGCTGGACTCCTCTTGCCCGCCCTCTACCAGCTTTGTGCGAGAGGTTGTTTCCTTACCACACCAGGGGGTGAGTGGAACCTACATACATGTGCCCTACGGAGAAAAGAAAGAGAATCCCAAGGTGATGTACTGGATTTTCGGAGGTGCTTTTGTCGGAGGAACGGTCCAGAGCAGCATGGGCATTGCCGAGCAGTATGCGCTTCGAGTTGGCTGTGACATTTTCATGCTTGACATGAGATTGTATCCAGAGTTTGGTATTGAGGATTCCTTTGTGGACGCTTGTCGAGGATACGAATGGCTGCTAACCAGGGCTTCTCCAGAGAACATTCTAGTCTACGGCCTATCCTCTGGAGGAGGCATTGCTTTGCGATTTTTGCAGCTGACTGCTGCGGGTGGCGACCAGAAAAGTGAGAAACGCTTCTTCCAGAATGCTGCGCCGAAACGTCAGCCTGCTGGCTGCGTGCTTTGTGGTGCCTGGGTCCGCTACACAACACCTGCCAAGAGCATGAAAGAGTATCCGGTCATAGACTGGGTTGCAGCCTCTGATGATCATCTGGACATGACCATGTACTTTGCAATCATGCTGGATGCACTTAACTACAACACGTGCTTGTTGCCTGCCATTTTGCATTGTGGCGGCACGTTCGGTGCAGACATTGCCACTGAGGTTGTGACTCAACGAGTCTACGAGTACATCTACCCAAAGCTGGGAGACATGTGCGGTGGCGACGAGCACAGGGAGAGGGTATCTCCTGTCTATAACGACATGACAGGCCTCTGCCCGTTGTATGTATCCGTCTCAGACCACGAGGTTTGTTTAGATGAGAACAAAGAGCTCATTGACAAGGCGGGACTTTGTGTTAACACTGTCAAGGTTCAAGCAGCACGTGCCCCCCTAGCTGGTGAGCATTCGCATTCGAGACGAACATGTACGTCACGTAGCAGTCGAACGTCCATGAAGTGGTTCTGGTGGGCCATTAGTGGCTGACAAGCCCAGGTGCACCCTGTAGAGCTCCCAGCTGTCCGTCCAGGAACCGCTCGTCGGTCTTAAATCAGATGGTGATTTCTGTCGCATCAAGCGGCCAGTGGTGCTATGGTTAGCGCTAGACACACACCCACACACACACACACCCCCATCCCGCCATGAGAATCTGATGCACATGCCCTGGCCGCTCCAGGCCAAGAAAGAAGGTGTTGATGTGACGGTCGACCTGGTTCCGTACATGCCGCATGCTTTTCAGTGGTGCTCGGCCTTCTTACCCGAATCGCGTGAGTCCGATGACCGCATCATTGCTTGGATGCGAAGGAAGCTCAAGCAAGAGAGCCAGTAATTCATGCGCCAATGCTTGTCTGGATAGTGGACCTAACACCCACTAATGACGAGTTGCACCATTTGCAGATCATGCGGAGTGCCGAGTCGTGCTAATTCAGCTCGACACGGTCGCATTGCTTGCAAAAGGAAGCGATGTTTCCGATTCACATTCATTCTCAGACTTAGAAGCGTTACGAGAGGACAACTGTTGGTTCAACAAGTTAAAAGGAGGCAAAGTGCCACAACCTGTGCAGGCGTCCGACATGACCATGCTTGGATTTTCAGTCTAGCATGTGAGAGCATCTGTCCAGTCTGGGTTTCGAGCAGTTCCACTTGCCAACGTCAGCAGAGTCACGAGAGACCCTAGCAACTCTAGCCTGCTTTGGTACTGTGCTTGCCGCCTGACGTGAGGAGGGCGAGCTCTCCCTCGTCGCCAGCGCGGAGTCGAGTGCAGGTTATGCCGTTTTTCTTTTTCCAATATAGCGCTGGGCAGAGTGTGTCGCTGATGTGCAGAGCGATGCCGACACGGGCGACGCCTTTCTGCAGAAGTGGGAGGAGGCCGCAATCAGCTCCTGGTCGGAAAATGCCCCCTTCCCATCTTCCCAGATATTCTGCCAGGAAAAAGAGTCGCTCTTTGCCAAGAAGCGAGACATGGAGGCCAGAGCTTCGTGCTTGCAGATGAAAGCCCTGACGCTTGCGGGGTGCGCAGATCTGCCTTTCAGCCTGAGTCTTGGCCAGGAAGTGTGTTTAAGCTTTCTTTTCTGTCAGGAGATTGCGCGGAAGAGTGCCGATCGAGAGGAAGGCCATCAGAAGTTCAACCAAAGCATGGTGAAACAACATGCGCCCGAAGGGTCCTTTGGCAGAGCGTCAGTCTTTTGCAGCTCGCGCCAGCCTTGCACCACGAGCTGCATGTGCTGGAGACACGTGGGGCCGCGCTGGCGGCCAGGCCTGCCCAAGCTTCCTTCACTAGGGATCTGATCTGTCTTGGTCGGTTTTTCCCATGTTGTCTGGCTTTGTTGGCTTTGGCGTTGGATCGCAATGTTTCCGAGTCCATCTACAAACCCGAGCATCTCCAGAAGCCGCAAGGTTAGACGAGGCGAAGGCCGACCTGAGCCCGGGTAGCAAGAAGCGCATGGCGGAGGCAGGATAGGATCCCTGCACCCTACACCCTAAACCCTAAACCCTAAACCCTAAACCCTAAACCCTAAACCCTAAACCCTGAACCCTGAACCATAAACCCTAAACCCTAAACCCTAAGCCGTACTAAACCCTAAACCGTAAACCCTCGACCCTAAACTAATCCGAACAGTCCCCACAAAGCGGGACCCTCAGTTAGAAGGTCTCTCTGTTGGATCGAGGCGGCCTCCATCCGTCGGGCCGCCTCCACGATGCTCACCTGTGAGAGGGACTCGCTGCAGGAGGAGGCGCCCCCCCCCCCCCCCCCACTCTTGTTACCTCCCCCCCCTCCCCTGTTCTCTCCTTCCTTCCCACACACTTACATCCCCCACTTTCCCCTGATGGCTTTTCTCTTTTGGGTTCTTTGAGGCTCTTGATACGTCGTGAAAAGATGCTTTGTGGGAAGAGCAATGGCTTGAAACTGTCTTGCGCAACACGACTGCCACAAAAATAGGTTGACAAAAACTGTCTCGCGCAACGAAACTGTCACGAGAAGGTTGTTTCGTGAAAAGAACAATGGCTTGAACAGTTTGACAAAAATTGTCTCGCGCGACGAAGAGCAATGGCTTGAATTCAGTCAAAGAGCGCTCTTTGATTCTTTTGGAACCGTTGATTAGATTTAGATGCTAGACCTCCACGAGGTTTAGGGACTTAGGCTCCAGTAGGTATGGGTTTTAGGGCAAGAGGTTGAAGGTTTGAGGGTGGGGTCTGGGCGGTGGCCGCGGCAGGCTCCTGCCAGCTTCCCTTTCTTGTAAGGGTCCACCTGGTCTGAGCGCTTGTTGGCTTCAACTTTGTCTGGGGCAGCCGGAGAAAAACACAAATTTCCTCGTTACCTTGGCCTGCTGTTTACTGCTGAAGAGGGAGCCCTCGTGATCCTCCACAATCCGTCAGCACCCCGGCCAGACCCTGCCCCAACTGCGGCGAATCCTCCCAAACTATGGCGAAGCCCTGCCGCCAACTCCGGCGAAACCCTACCCTGCCGCCAACTAGTTTGCTCTTCGGCGCTTCGATTGGCGAGAGACTTCGTGAAGCGAGGTGCGGCTTCTCAAGTCTCAGTCCACCAGACTGGAGGAGAAGGTGCGACCACCTCGCAGTTTTGTTTACAAGCATCGCGAGCCAGTGTTTGTCCACCCAGTGTTTGTCCATGCTTCGCAGGTGGGACGGCTTTCCAAGCAGCTTGCGGAGGCTAAGGCAGTCATGGTAGTCAGTTAAGGCCCACTCGTCACAAAATACACACACACACACACAGAGACACACACACACACACACACACACACGCACACGCACACGCACACGCACACGCACACGCACACGCACACGCACACGCACACGCACACGCACACGCACACGCACACGCACACGCACACGCACACGCACACGCACACGCACACGCACACGCACACGCAAACGCACACGC